TATGATACATAATAGAGATATATGATCGAGATATATGATAGAGATGTATGATACATAATAGAGATGTATATGATCGAGATATATGATAGAGATGTATGATACATAATAGAGATGTATGATCGAGATATATGATAGAGATATATGATACATAATAGAGATGTATGATAGAGATATATGATACATAATAGAGATGTATGATAGAGATATATGATAGAGATATATGATACATAATAGAGATATATGATACATAATAGAGATATATGATAGAGATGTATGATACATAATAGAGATATATGATACATAATAGAGATAAATGATAGAGATGTATGATACATAATAGAGATATATGATACATAATAGAGATGTATGATACATAATAGAGATATATGATACATAATAGAGATATATGATAGAGATGTATGATACATAATAGAGATATATGATACATAATAGAGATGTATGATACATAATAGAGATATATGATAGAGATATATGATAGAGATATATGATACATAATAGAGATGTATGATAGAGATATATGATAGAGATATATGATACATAATAGAGATGTATCTCTAGTCTATCGTGTACTATTGCTATAATACACCACCGTACACACTACACTACAACAGCGCGCGGACACGGACCCGTAGCCTGTACCACGCTTCGGCGGTACGGTGAAGATGTTTCTGCCGGCAGGTGTCGCCTTGTTCAGTGGCTTGGCGACGACAGGGCTGAACGCTTCCACGGGACCAGCGAACGTGCCGTAGTGACTGCAGGCGCCAGATCTGCGATACGTAAAGCCAACAACGATGAGAGGCTGCGAGATGCTGAGGCACTGAGGCGGTGAGGCAGTGAGGCAGTGAAAAGTTAAAACCGTGAGACAGTGAGACAGTGGGGTGCTGAGACAGTGAAGCGGTGAGGCAGTGAGGCAGTGAAAAGTTGAAGCAGTGAGACAGTGAGACAGTGAGGTTGTGAGACAGTCAGGGTGTGAGGCAGTGAGGCGGTGAGGCAGTGAGGTTGTGAGGCAGTGAGATTGTGAGACAGTGAGGCGGTGAGCCAGTGAGGTTGTGAGACAGTGAGGCGGTGAAGCAGTGAGGCGGTATGACAGTGAGGAAGTGAGGCCGTGAAAAGCTATAACAGTAGGATACTGAGACACTGAGATGGTGAGGCACTGGGATGATGAGACACTCAGACAGTCAGACACTGAGACAATGGGACGGAGTAACAGTGAGCTCGTGAGACAATGGGATGGTGGGATCGTGAGACACTGGGATGGTGAGATCGTGAGACACTGGCATGGTGGGATCGTGAGACACTGGCATGGTGGGATCGTGACACTGGAATGGTGGGATCGTGAGACACTGGGATGGTGAGATCGTGAGACACTGGGATGGTGGGATCGTGAGACACTGGGATGGTGAGATGGTGAAAAGATTAAAACAGTGAGAGACCGCGATGCAAAATCCCCTGCGGCGTGTTTGGATAGCGATGCGCAGCGTTGCCGAATAAAGAACCAGGAATCAGTGAAACTAACTATACCCAACTCACGCCAGCGATATCTCAGCTACTACTATTACCGCCCGCAGCTATATCTGCGACGTTTTCACTGCCAGCTACACCGCATGTATTTTGCAGCGGGGAATTCCCCATCAGATCACCCACCCTTTACACGTCGGCGGGGTTGTCTGCACAGTCACTGCATCCTGGATGCTGTAACATCGTGTAATCAACCCACGCTCGCACGCTCTCTCTCTCTCTCTCTCTCTCTCTCTCTCGCTCTCTCTCTCTCTCTCTCTCTCTCTCTCTCTCTCTCTCTCTCTCTCTC